CCCCCACTGCCCCAAGAGGCCAGAGCAGCATGTGCCCCCATGACCAGTCAATGACCGGAGGGGGGACCCCCATGGCTGATCTCACTCGCCAAAAAGTGAATGCAGTGCTTCTGGAAATGGCCACGGCCACTTCTGCTGGTGGCCCCAGTCCCCAGCCGGCACTCGTGCACCACCTGGGAGCATAGCTGCTTTACCTGGCAGCCCTGCTCCCCAGCCGGCGCTCGCAGGGGGAACACCGGTGCTCCTGCCTGCCCCCCCACCTGTCGCCTACGCGGTGACCACGGCCATTGGGGGTGCATGGGGGTTGCCACCGTGTCCCAGCAACCCCTGTCGGCTCTGCTCCTCAGGGTCTGCTCTTATGCTGAGGTTGTGCAGCCCTGCTCCAATCAGGTGGCCTGCTGGCAGTCATGTGACTGCCTGATCAGCTCTGCAGTCACCTGCAGGCTGTCTCACAGCCTGCTTAGGCCCTGAAAGTAGCAGGTGTGCTGCCACACACCTTCCCCCTTAAAATCTTTCCAGGGGAGGGGGGTGTCTCTCTGCTACTCCCCTTGCAGGCTCCTCTGCAGCCTGCACAAGCACTCCAAGTGGCAAGCACCGCAGTGGTGCTGCCAGTCAGGTTCCCTGCTAGGGCCAGTCAACATAATGTAACCAATGTCAGTGGATTATACAGGAGTGTTCATAATTGTATTTTCACTCATGTTTTGGCCAGTCTGCCTATTGCTGGGTTTCCATTTTGTCCCTTGATCATTCCAGAGGCTAGAAAGGAATCTTGCTGTCAGATGTCTCTACCTTAGTCCCTCCTTATTAAAATATTTTGTGTTATTTTTGCAATGAGATATGGTGGGTTCACATTCATGTTAGTTTATTTTAGACTTTTTAAGGCCCTTTTAAATGGTATAGAGTTCTTTTTGATATTTGATTTTAAAAAGCGTTATGCCATCAGTTTCAAAAGCCCTTCAGAACTCAGTGTTTTAAGAAGACAAATTTAGGTAATTACAGAGGTGCAAATTGGTGGCCTCAACTAGTTCCTTTAGGAACATCCTTATTAATGTTTTATATCGTCATTAAATTGACCCATTTTGTCTGTTTTTGTTTTTCTTTCTTGCTAAAAGGGGCGAATCCTTCAAATTTAGAGAATTTCTAGCTTTGATATCTTATTTCTAGGTGATGTTTCACCCAGCCTTCTTCTGGGGAATGTTTTCGCTCTGCTTTTTCAAGGGACCCATATGCTATAGATGTGGAGACAGTAGCTTGCTTGCCTATTTTCTTTCAAGTGAAGACAAATAATTGCTAGAGTTTAAAGTATCTTAGCTCTGTAAAAATGTGTGTAGCACAAGACTACAATAAAAAGTTAAATCACCTTTGCTAGTTTTCTCCAGCCTCTGTTAGGTACAAGGCAGACCAAGGGGTATTTCCCTGTGTTGGTTAAGTGTAAGTGGCCCAGAGGGTTCCCCTTCAAGGTGAACTCCTCAAATATATGGAGCAAAACCTTATGTTAGGGAAATACTTCAATCCTGGTAGGAAGTGCATCTCTGAATCCCAGGATGGTATGAAGTGTTGAGGAGGAAAAGCTCTGTCAGCAGTTCTACAAATTAGTGTCAGAACAGCACCAGATATTTTTCCTTAAGCATTATAAGCTAATTTCCAAGCTAACTTTTTAGATACTAATAGCACATGGCAGAACTAATAAGTAGTCCAATATCTTAAATCCTGTGGTAACTCGTTATATAGTATGAATTAATGCTGTTAATCCAGCTGAATAGCTGGCAGGCATCCAGGAACAAATTCACTGCTGGCACAAATGGAAGCATTCGGACAAGTACAAAAGTTGTTTGCTTATGCAGAAGTGAATTTATTTCTCGAATCTTATGGTTCTTCTGACCTCAGAGAGAAAGTTAAATACTGTAAGTCCAATGTAGGTAAAACTCCCAATGTTTTAGATAGGTATCCAGGTTGTAGCCGTACTGTTCTAGAGGAAGAAGCAATCTGGGATCATGGTAGAGGCGATTATCTTTTATTAGACCAACAAGATTTTTGCAAAACATTTTCTTTAATTAATGTTTTAGATAGGAATTCAGCTTGTTGGAGGACAGCGTTATGACACCATGGTGAATATTTAGCTCTTAAATAATTCTTTACTACATAGATTTCAAAGCATGTAAAGATAGGGAAGTACCACTACGGACATTGCATGGAAGGGAGGAACAGGTACTAAACTAACCTGCCCAAGTTCATATAGGCGGTTACTGATAGAATTGGGAACAGAATCAGTTTCGAGCCTCTGAGGTCAGCGCTGTCCTCAACTGAGAAATTGAGAGATGCTGTATAAAACTATTAACTTTGGTTCTGCCATGTCTTCTGACCAAGTATTGCTGAGCTTAAGAGCATGTCCTATTTTTTTAAAGCCTTGTATGACTAGTCTTTGAGGATACAGTATAGATTATTGAGACCTTAATTTTTTTTTTCTGGCTTTATTTCAGATTTAAACTCTGAGCAGAGTTTTTGGTTTTGCATGGCTGATTTTTTACAATACAAAGCCTACTGGCATGTTCCATTTTCCTCAAAGTTTGTAAGAGAGGGGATGGATATGTTATCAGGCTTTCATTTGTGCCTGGTGGTCAATGCATGGGACAGTCGGCTAAGGGGATTGCATGCTCTTTAGAAAAACCAAGGGGAAAGGATATGAGATGCGGAGGCAGTAGCTTATTTGCCTATTTTCTTTCAAGTGAAGACAAATAATTGCTAGAGTTTAAAGTAGTTTAGCTCTGTAAAAATGTGTGCAGCACAAGACTACAATAAAACGTTAAATCACCTGTGCTAGTTGAGCATGAACAGGCTTATGTTCTATTCTATTATTTAAGAACAAAATGGACACCATTAAATGTCACTATTTAGCTGCTTTATTTACTCAGGAATCATAATATGCCTTATCCTTAGAATGGGAATACAAACTGTAAATACTGTGGTAACTTCAACTACTGTAAGCAGTATTTAAATGGCACTTGCTTATTTATTACTTCCATTTTTATAAGCTGTTTTGATGCTGTCCTTGAATGGCTTTGAAGTGCTTGGAAAGGTTCAAGACATCCAAAACTTCAAAGATGTCTCATTCCCCCCACCCCACCCCCATTTGAGGAACACATTCATTTTTATAAAGGAAAAGTCAGTTTAATATTATGAATAGTGTTTTACAAGCCATGTCTCCTCAGGATACAAAGAAGGCAGCAAGAGGAGGAAGCAGAAGCAGAGAGATGAGCAGAAGAAGAAGAAGTCAACCAAAGGGAATTTTTAAAACGGACTCCTCCGACAGTCTCATACCTTTATAATGATGGCAACATATTCTTTTTTGAGCACACATTTGTGAATACATTTTGATTGTGCACACTTTGTGAAGATGTCTCATGTTTTAAACTATACTAAAATTGCACTATGTTACTTTTCATCATCACAGGATGGCTTTTTTGCTAGTCGGGTTAAAGACTTCAAAGTAGGCTGATGTGGTTAGAAGTGCATTTTATTTGGAGATTGGGAAAATGTTACAGAATCTCTTACCTCTACCTTCCTTGGGACTAAAACTACTGTAGTAGTCTAGTGTGTTCTTCTAGGATTTAAGGGGTTGTAACAATGTCTGTTTATGTTCTAGAATAATCGGGCATGTTGAAATAAGAGGTTAAACCTTGCTTCTATTCCCCTTTGATTTCACTGGGAGTAGGATATGGAAACTCTTGGATATAGCAGTTTATGCAAACTTGTAATTCCCTTCTGCGCTCTTTCTTTTTTCCAAACTTGGGAAGAAAAGGTCTGTTCCTAATACCATGATGAGATAATCTAGAGTATGTCATGAAGGAGTCACTTTCTTTCATTTTTAAGAAAGTCTGTAAGATTCTGGTCTCCTGTGTGCATTCATACAGATTCATCATAGACTCCCTATGAATCATTTGGTGAAATCATTCCTTGTATTTTTATCTTTTTATAGCCTAGAGACAAATTATCTAAGTGCTACTTTGAAATTTGGGCAGTTTCTGCTGAGTGGATTATAGATCCATTATAGATTTTGTTTCAATATCCATAAAAGATTCTGCTAAGACTTTTTTTTTCTTCTGCAGAGCATTTACATATAGGATGTCACTTCTATGTGAGGAAAGTATATTTACACCAGTTTTATTTCAGGACACATTTTTTAGCTTGAAAAGAAGTGTCTTTACTTTAAAAGAAATATTTTTTGAGTCTGGCAAGATTACTTCCTTGCTTCCCATAATAGTTTAATTTGCATGATAAATTGCTTCTCTTAACCTCTTAATTGGTGTTGAGTACTAAATAGAATCTCTCTATCCCTGCAACTACTTCCTGCATGTTCCTTGTCGGTATGTTGCTTTTTCTCTTTAACCTACATATAGGAATAATCAGCTGTGTTTTGTTTTTGTTCTTTTGTTTTTCCTTTGCCAACATGTTGATATAACAGGACTTAAACCTGGCAATGTTGGAAACCCAAGTTTCCTGGAGAATTTCACTCCTCTTTGAAATGCAAAAATGTAGCAATGAACACAATGACATGAAGAAGCTAAACCGAAAAATAAAACTTGCTGTTGTAGAATACTCTGAGAATTGTGGTGTCTACAGTATTTGGATTGGTTTAGTTTCTAATGCTTACTCTATGAAAATGTAACCTTACGCAAGCATAACATAATGCAATGTATGTTAAGGTATTTAAATGATGGTTTATCTCAAATAAAACCGAGTATTTTTTCTGTCATTCAAGTACTATTTAATTGCGCAGTGTTGTTAATTAAAAATAAAGAGAGTTCTGTATACTTTGTCACTTTTGACTGTAAAACAGACTAATTGCCAGCATCAGTTGTTCCTGCCTAAATTGGACTAAAGCAAATACAGGTTTTGTGTTCATAATACAGTCACAAATACTTTTGAATTATCCTTTTAACTAAGTAAATTAGTCAGAAAATGTGGCTCCTTGTACAAGCAAACTGTAAAGGTGATTGACATTTTTTAAGGAGAATTAAGGCTGAGAGGTACCAGATTTCTTGAAAAACCAGTGCCTGTGCATAGAAGCAAGAAGCTTTTGCATTCAATCCTAAACATTGTTTAGAGAAAAGGAGCTGTTTTGCAGCAGTTGAACCTGGCATGTCTTGCATTAGATTTGTGTCCTAACTTCAGGTGCATAATCATGCAGAGCATGGTCTAAACAGGCTATAAAACTGTCCCAAACCATGCTGGCAATTTTACAATAGCAAACTAGAACTAGTGAGTAATATAGGGGCACTTTTTTTCATCTGTCCTCCAGTCGGACTAAACTTACTCATTTCGTAGATACCAGTTCAAGTATTAATTTGTGTTCTAAACTGAGCCAAACATAATTGTAGTGTCTGAATATTTTCACTTTTGCCTCAATATTAGCTTGCATCAGAGATGCTGCTGCTTAGTTGGCTAAGGTTACTTTGCTCATTGTTTTATAATCTTCATGGAAGCATCACACTTTGAGGGTTTCTTCCCTGTATTCCCTTTCTATTGGTATCCTGGAATTTTACTGAAGTCTATACCATGAAAGGTGAATGTACAGGTATCCCATCTCTTACAAATACTACGGTTTCAGTTTGCCAGTAGTATAAACTTCCATGTTACCATTTTTACCACTTAAACTATATTAATATTTATTTTTTCAATAAAGGTCATTCTTGCTTAACCCCTTTCAGGATGGAATTGTGAAATATTTCCGGGAAACATTTCTTTTCATTATATCCACATTTCTGTCATGACCTTAATACTGTAGTAATTACTGCCTAGTTGCATGTATGATGCTGCTGAGTGGAGTGGGATGATCACCCATATTAAATAAAAATGAATGAAAAGGCAACAAGTGCAGAAGAGGGCTTAGGTCGGTGATGGATTCTTCATCCAATCTTAGAAGAGGACCGTAAAGGAGCTCAGACTATGGATATATAATGAAGTCTAGGAGAAGGTATGTCATTTAGCTCTATTAATAAATTAGGGAAGCAAACACTAGCAGAGTTATTCAACTAAAGGGCAATACTGGTACCACAACAATGTGTTGCTTCATAAAGTTAGGCTGGGAGTTAGAAAGTTTCTATCAGAACAGTGAAGGTCTGGAACACCTTCCCCTAAGAGGAGTATGGGTCAAAAAACAACCTACCATTATGATGGCACTGTGGTTGGTTACTGAAAGGGATTATATTAAGTGGTTGCTTCCAATACTCCAGAACTATCACTACACAGCCTTCATAGCAAGCCCTGGAGCATTGCCAAGAGGCAAATCCTGTCCTCTGGTACCCCACAATGTAGCTGGTTAGTACAGCCCTGAGCAGGTGTCCAGAGCTCCTCTTAGGCTCTCTGCCTTGGTGTGACATCAAGGCTTCTTGAAGCCAAGCCACACAGTCTGTTTTTGAGGCTTTGGTGCTAGTGGGCAGGATGTGCTTCTTACTGCTTCTGGGCTAGCCTGGGGCAGGGATAGTAACCCAGGAGGCATCTTCCAGCACTTTTCTTTTTTGGTTCTCTCCCTTTTGTTAAAGGGAGGCCACTTTAAAATCTCCTATTTACAGCCATTGCCTTTTCTTTCCATACTGCAGACTTTTCTCTGTGTGGATTTCCTTCATCTCCTAGGATTTAACTTTCCAAGTTTTGCCCAATTGAGTTTCTCTTCAATTTTAAACTTTTCTCTTTTGGGAAAATTTGTACTGAATGTGGTGTTCACCCTCAGTAGGAGTTGCCACGTCCTTCCTCTGCAGCTGTGTTCTGGTCCGAGCATGTGTCTTGGCACACCTAGGTTCCAATATTTTGGGCTGGCCAAAATTAGCTTACCTCCATAATGCCTCAGAAGAATAAGGGTAGTTGTACTTCTCACGGCCTTAGTACAAACACTACAGATGTAGAGAGCTCTTATAATATTACAGCTTCCACCACTGCACACAGTCTCTGCTGTTCTTTTGTTTGAAGTCAGATATACACTTTGCTTTCAATTAAAGACTACTGGTAAATCTCCTTCTTGGATCTGATATAGCCATGCTTGAAGTCAGACCTAATAGTGGGGCAGAAAACATGTTGCAGTCTGAATAAGTGCAAAATGGTAACACTGCAGCTAAACTACTGGGGTGGTTTAATTCAATACCTGTGTGAAATTGGTTATAGATCACCTGAGCATCAGGTCACATCTGAGATGGAAACTTATGGTGAGTACTGTAGAAGAAACTCACTGCAACCACAGCCCTTTGAAAACCTCCACCAGCTGGGGTGGAGTTGGGTTGAGGGAGGACATATTTCCCAAATTAACTTCCAGTGTTCTGTGATCAGTGCTGCTGTCTGGAGCTCAGCACTGAGCTCTGTTTGAAGTGGCTCAGCAGTCTCAGACTTGTGCTGAAGTTGAAAGTCAATAGTATTTTGTCACCTTTAAAACCCTTGCAGAGGCTTTCCTCTTGCGGGAAGTGTTTCAGCATGTACTGTGTGTATTTGTAGAAATGCCACTTGCAGTTCTTTTCATCTGAAAGACCGTCTTTGGGAAATAATCAAATACCTGGAAAGCATGCAACAAACCTGTTCTGACTGGTTACTCACCTTACTGGTTGAAACTGAGGATTGTTCTAAACTGTCTGTTTTACAAGCTGTCTTAAATCCATCACTTCTGAGACTTACCTGCCTTCCAGCATGGATTTTAGGATACCTGGTGGTTAGACTTACATTATTTATTTCAGTGTTTTACTGTCCCTCAGTATTTTTTGCATGTCTAATGCCACACTCGTTCCCCGGTATAATGCTGTTCCTATCTATTCCATTGCTGCATTTCAAATCTTGGTTCCTTTCCTTTGTTATTTTTGGGATCACTGTTGAAAATTTCCTTTCCTTACCTAGGTTTTGTATTTGATTGCTTTACAAACAGGCACCCAAATTGGACAGTGTAGTAAATGCAGTTGTCCTGTGTGAACCCTTTTAATTTTCTTACGTGCTCTAACCTTTGCTCCATGGCACGTCTGTTTTGGTTCTAAATAGCAAATTTGTAAGGCACCCCTTGGTCCTCATTTTCTTTTATGATGCTCTCTACACTTAATATTGACAGCCTAAAAGTATTTGTGAATTGCCTTGAGTGGAGCTTGGTTAATCACAAGATTTGCTGTTTTCACTGATGATCCTTAAGTAGAGTCCCCTAGCTGTTATGCTCATCCCAAACTGCCTCTTACATCTTTCCTGCTGCCAAGAGCTTCAGCCATCGTAAGCAGCTACCAACCTTTGACCTGTTCCACTTCCCTTAAGCTAACTTCTACGTCAGGGGTGCAGCCAGTCCATACAAAAATCAGACTGTGCACAAAACTGAAAATGTGGCTAAAATAAAACAAATCTGTGGGCTCCTATTTTGAGTGTGTTTATTCTATTTAGTTCAAAAACGGCCTTAATCCTTAAATGAAGATACTGCTGACTTTCCAGGCTGCCATAGCAATGGAAATGAGGACCTTGCTGCATAGTCTAAGCAGGGGTGGGCAATTATTTCAGCTGGAAGGCCGCTTAATGACTTTTGGTGAGTTGTCTAGGGCTGCAAGAGTAGAAGTGATTCCCTAATAGCTCAAAATAAATCTTACTTTTGTCTATTGCATGTGGGGGACGTGGCTGGGAGGGGAGCGGTGTGGGAGGAGGGTTTGTGAAGGAGTGTGGGGTCTGGAGGGGTTTGCAAAAGAGCGTGGGGGGGCTGTGGGGAGGGTCTTTGGGTGGGTGTAGGGTGTGGGTTGGGTTTGGGCCCCTCCACTCCACCCCTCCCCATGGTACACAGCCCCTGCCACTAGTGACAGGAGCAGGCCCTCAGGATGTCATGGCCCATGACAGGCAGAGTCTCCTGGGGGTGCGGAGCTCCAGCTGTGTCCTGGAAGCTGCATGTGGCAGTATAGAGCCTGCCTGGGCCAGCCCACTGGCATCCACCCTCACCTCAAACCAGGCTGGCTCCATGCCAGCATGTGGGGCTCCTGGCACTCCAGCAGAAAGCTGCACTTGGTGATATGCACCCTGCCTGGCCTGATAGTGCATGACACATGGTCCATGCACCATTGGACTGGCCAGGCTTCATGCCCTGACATGTGACTCCTGGTATTATAGCCAGGAGTGCATGCCAGCAGACCAACCAGACTGGCTCTGTGCCAGCACGTGGGGCTGTCAGCACTGCAGCCGGGATTGTGCGTCACTGAGCTGAGCCAGACTGGATCCATGCCTCCACATTCATCTCCCTGCTGGAGTGCTGGAAGCCTCGTGTGGAGGCATGAATCTGGCCTTGCCTGGCCTGTTGGCGCACAGCTCCTGTCTGCAGTGCCCAGAGTCCTACATGCTAGCACAGAGCCAGACCGATTTGTTTTGAAGGTGTGTGCCAGTGGGCTGGGCCAAGCCAACTCTGCCATGTGCAGCTCCTGGGACTCAGCCGGAGTCACGCACTGTTGGGGTGCTCTACCTGCTGCAGACCATGAGTGCCCCAAGAGCCTGGCCGCCTGCTGCTGTTGCTGGCAGCAGGGGCTGTGTACCATGGAGAGGGTGGGTGGGGGCATGCCACAAACATCACAGTCACCCACACATACTATGCACCGACAAATACTCCCACCCCCCACCCACATACGCGCCAGTGGGCTGGGTGAGTTCTGTGCCACCATGTGTGGCTTCAGTGCTGCAGGCAGGAGCTCCCCTCCCCACTCACCAGCTGTCCAGTTGCATGCCTTTATGCTCCGTACCTCCACATGGGGCTCCCAGCTGGAGTACCAGGAGCCCCACGGAAGTGGAGGTAGTGTGGCTGCCTGGTCCAAAGGCACGCAACT